CCCCCCCAGGATGGTGCTCCGGCTAGGCTCCCAGCACTGAGGACAATGCCTACCTACCCAAAGCAGGTGTTCAGCCAGTATTGTCATATGCACTGCTAGTGATTCAGGTGTGTGTTTAAGGGACATGAGGGTAGCAGGAGGGACCACTTTCATATACATATCAAGTATCCAAGTGTGAGACCCTATAAAAGCATGCAGAATAACTTTCCTCCATTACCAGATGTACCAAGTACCTACAGCATGCTAGGCATAGGGCCAAGTGCTGAGGGTATAGCCATGAAGGAGACAGGCATGGTCCCTTCTACGACTTTTCTGAGTGAGCCTCAGTCAAGGGGACACCTTTTTCTCTGACTTTATGCCTGGTAGAGTCTGGTGGAATATAAGGCTGTGACTACAACTGTGATGTGTCATTCTTAACTGACTGTAAACTAGTGAACCTTGTGTCAACTAGTGCTGCCTTACGCATGGCCCCCAAGACTCCCCACCCCCTGGCGTATACCTCCTGTACAATCCTGTGAATGTGATGAGTTCTGTTACTCATTTCTGTTCTGTTCTAAGATAAGGTTATAAGATAATGCAGTTAACCTTGAGACAGGGGGACTATTCAGGTGGACCTGACCTATTCACAGGAGCTCTTTGTAAGTAGAGAGTTTTCTCTGGAAGGGGAAGTCAGAGATTTGAAGCACGAAGGGAATTCTCTGGGCAAGTTCTCCATTGCTGGCTTGAAGGGCCTATGTGGAAGGGGTCTGAGGGTGGCCTCGAGGAGCTGAGGGCCACCTCTCACTGATAGAGAGAAAATGGGGACCCACTCATACAACTTCACGGCAATGCATTCTGCTAACAGCCTGTGAGCTTGCAAGAAGACCCTGCCCCAGATGAGGACCTGCCCTGGCCACTGTGCCTAGACTCCTGACTTACAAAATCTATGAGATAACAAATGGGTGTTGCTTTAAACCACAGAATTTGTGGTAATGTTACACAGCAAGAGAAAGCCAGTGGGCCTTTTCAGAAGTAGCCACATCAAGTGACCCCCATTCTGCTCACAAAGAGCTCTCAGCACATCTTCTCAAAGGCCCCACTGCCCAAGCCAGTGACTGACTCACACTTGCCCTTGGAGTTGGGTTCTTGCCTGCCCTGTCTCTCTAAGCTGCTGGGTGGATTCTTTCCTGTGCTCTCCTCTTTTCCCATCTGACCTGCTGGTTTGCAGTGAAGGGCTGCCTGGCCTCTACTTCCCTAATGCCAGCCCCCTCAGGCTAGTCTCTTATCTACTCTTGCTTTTTTATTTAGAGCAATTTCATGCAGAATGTGGAGCAGGAAAGGAGAGAAAGTATGGCCCCCAGGTGCTCTAAGGCCCCCAGGCAGGTGGCTCCAGGCTGTTCTGCCAGGTCTCAGATTTGGTGCCCTGGACATCGCCCTAGCACCTTCCTCCCTCCCAGCAACTTTTAGGCCCTCCTTTCAGAGGCTTTTTCCTTAGCTTGGAACATTCTTCCCTTCCCTCTTACCTACACATACTTGACTTAACTTTTCAGCTCTCTTTCCAGCAGCCCTTCCCACCAAGGAAACCTTCTTGACCACTGTCCTTGAATTCTTGGTGCTTGGCACAATTGCACTTTTACATTTTTGCATTTCTTGTTGCACCTCTGTCCTGGCTGTGAGCTGGCCTCTTGGTGGCAGGGCATAGGTTGTTTTGCTGACCAGTGCCTGGAGCAGGGTGGGTGGGTTGTAAGGCCGTGTTGATCAGTACCCCTGAAGTCACTGGCTCCTGTGCTGGACCCACTCTGCAGCCAAGCAAACCCCTCAGCCAATTTGGTCCCAACTCCTCCTTCCAGGCTGGCACTTCCCCATTTTGAGCTAGAGGCCTAGGGGTGGGGGAGGCAGTACTGGTGAAGAGCAGCAGCAAATGACACAGCAGGAGGCTGCAGCGAGGCTCCTGTAGGCCTCCTCTACACCAGCAGGGTCAGCCCCATAGGCCTTGGCGGTAGCTGTGGGGCCCATAGGCTATGAAATCACATTGCCTGGGTTCAAATCCTGGCTCCTTCTGTCTGTGACCTTGGGCAAATTGTTTACCTCCATAACGTGAGTCAGTCCCTCACCTGTAAAGTGGGGTAACAGTGGACCTACCTCATGGAAAGTGTTTTTCCCTCCTCCTCTGAATGAAATAATGTTATACAGTGAAGTACTATCTGAGGTAGTAATGGTAGCTCTTTGCTGAGTGTTCCTCACGTGCCCAGATTATTTCCCTTAAGCCTGCAAAACACTACAAGGTGACCAACCCAACTTTAGAGAGGTTCTGGGACTTGCCCAAAGTTTCTCTTGGGAAGTGGTGGGGTGGGATTTGGGTCCTGTTGTGTCTGGCCACTCAGCAAGTGAAGACTCCTGAGCTCCTCACTTCCCCTGCCACTCAGGCACCAGAATTCTGGAAATCTGAGCAGCTATGAGAAGAGCAGGCCCAAGTTCATGGGCCATCCTGCTATTCTGCTTAATAAAGAGCTGTCTATCCTTCCTATAGTTTTAAGAGATCATCTTCATTCAAAACTTGCCGTGTTGTTATATTTCAGAGCAAGCTACAGCGAGCAACAGAAATGTCCATCAATCTGGACAAGGAGATCTTGCTGAGAAATGAATTACTTGAAAAAATTGAAAGAGAAACCCTACAAGCAGAGGAGGTAGGAAGGATAAAAGCTGTTTCTGGAGTATGTTCCCTTGCGTCTACAAGGGCTTGAGCCAGTGTCTGCCAAGACCTAAGCCACCACAGTTTTTATCTAGAAAAGCCTAAACCATAAAAATAAAAATAACTCTGGGCCATCAGAAGAGAAGGAGGCACCTAGAGACCCACAGCCCAGTACAGTGTTGTGTTTTACTGCTGGGTTAGGTGACATCTGTGGGGTGATTTCTGAAGTCTGAAATCACGTAGAAATCATGAAGTCATCTAGAAATCATGTAGAGTGCAAACAACCCTTGAGAATTCCTTAGGTGACCCATAAGATACCATCTCCAAAGTGTATATAACTTCACAAAAAATATGTAATGCATGTAGTAATGTAACCGGTGTGAGAAAAAGTACTGCTGCCAAAATACAATGTTTTGTGTAAAGGAGAGAGAGCTCTTTAAATATGTAACTCTTATTTGGTACAATGGATGCTTGGACAATAGACCTGTGGCCACTGTCCTGGGCCCACTCCAGGGCCTGTGGTTCCTGTGTGAAAAGATGTGTGGCATCATCTGATCTCTTTACATCTAGGTTGCTATTTAGCACCCTCACTATTTTGCTGAGCACATATAGTTGAATTCCGGCCAGTTAAATGTTCCTGGGATACAACTCAAAGAGGCCTTTTTTGGGAAGGCAGAGGAGAAAGAGCACTGCACTTGCAGTCAGAAGACCTGGCACAGGGTTAGTGTTGCCAGCCTTTTAACTAGACAGGACTCAGTGTCCACATCTGTGGAATGTGTGGTGTGGACATCACAACCTTGTTGTGGCGATCAAATAGGACCACATACAGCAATGCTTTGTCAGCCTCTAAAGCCATTAGAACGGTCATTAGCGCCATCTTCTTGAGTGGGCCCAAAGTGTCCCCAGCAGTGCACATCGCCCCAAACCTGCCTACAATAGCCAAAAAGCCACAGGATTACCACATCTGACTCAGTTTTGTCATAGCATCCACATCACATCCATGATGGAGAACCAACACCCTCTGCAAAAAAGCTGGTCTCAGAAAGCGGCCAGTAACAAAGTTGAAGCAAATGTCTGTGTGGTTTCTCCATGCAGAATGTCTGTGGTATTTGTTTGTTTGGGTTGAGATTTATTAAATTATCAGTAAAACATGAAGTCAACTTTTAAAAGCCTGGCATTCACTGCTTAGTATATTTTAGTTTTCTTAACTTTTTAGAAATAGCTCTATTGGGATATTATTCACATAACATATACTTTACCCATTTAAAATGTACATTTTAATGGTTTACAGTATATTCAGAGTTGTGTTACCTTCAGCACAATAATTTTAGATCATTTTTGTCACCCCAGAAAGCAAGCCTGTACTCACCAGAAATCCTCCTCCATTCCCCACCTCACTTTCACTCCCACCCTCCAGCCCTCGGTGACCACTGATCTACTGTCTGTCTCTGACTTGCCTGTTCTGCACATTTCATATAAAAAGGAACATTAAATATGTGGTCTTTCTGAACGGGTTTATTTTCAGGATTCATGTTGTAGCATGTATCAGTACTTTGTTTCTTTTTATGGCTGAATAATACTAATATTTCCTAGTATGGACATTCTGCATTTCATCCATTAGTTGATGTGACTCAAAGGGTTGTTACCATTTTTTGGTTTAACGATAATGCTGGTATGAACATTCATATACAGATTTCAATGTGAATGTGTATTTTCTTTTCTCTTGAACATATAAGCTAAAAGTGGAGCTGTGGGTTAAATGCAGTAACTCTATGTCAAACATTTAGAGGAACTGCAAAATTTTTTTTCAAAGTAGCTGTGTTTTACATTCCTGTCCACAATGTTTGAGCATTCCTGTTTCTGCCCATCTTCATCAATACCTGTTATTTTCAGTTGTTGTGGTTTTTTTTAACGGCCATTCCAGGGGGTGTGAATGTTTCATTGTGGTTTTGACTTGAATTTCCCTAATGATTAATGACATTGAACGTCTTTACATGTGCTTATTGGCAACTTGTCTTTTTGGAAAAATGTCTGTCCAAGCCTTTAGCCCTTGGATAATTCATTCATTCATTTATTCATTTTTATTATTGGGTTGTACGAATTCTTTATGGATTCTGGATCCAAATCCCTTATCATATAAATGATTTGTAAATATTTTCTCCCATTCTGTAGTTTTTTTTCACTTTTTTGATGGTATTTTTGCAGTACAAAAGTTTTTAATTTTGATGAACTCCAATTTATCTCATTTCTTTTTCATTTAATGCTTTTGGTGTTATACCTAAGAAACCATTACTTAATATCATGAATATTTACTCCTTTGTCTGTAAGAGTTTTAGATGTATTACATTTGGGTTTATGATACATTTTGAATTAATTTTGTAAATGGTGTGAGGAAGGAGTCCAAAAATTGAGAGAAGAAAGGAGACAAAGTATGTTCATAGAGTTTGTTGTATCAGCCTATCTACCATTTGTCTGGTTCTCTCCATTTTGTCCTATGGGTTTAAGTTATTTCCTTACTCAAATACAGCTTTGTTTCACCCTGTCTCCTTTGTGCTGTTGTCAAATATATTTTTATTGCAAGTTATAGGTCCAAAATTCAATTATGTACATATCGTCTTATAAAATTGCTTTTTAAATCAGTTAAGAGAAAGAGACTATGAGATTATACTCTCTTATAATTACCTACTAATTGTCTTTACTTGTGCTGTTTTCCTCACATGTATTTGAGTTACTGTCTGGTGTTACTTGTTTTCAGAGTGAAGAATGACCTTTAGTATTTCTTGTAAGACTCATCTGTTAGCAATGAATTACCTCCAGCTTTGTTTATCTGAGAATGTCTTTATTCTTCCTTCATTAAAAAAAAAATAACCTTTTTATTTGAGAACTGTTTTAGATTTACAGCAAAATTGTGAAGATAGTACAGAGAGTTCCCAAGTATCTCACATCCAATTTCCCCTATTATTAACATCTTATATTAGTAGAATACATTTATTAAAATTAAAAAACAATATTGGTGCATTATCATTAACATTTATAATTAATATTATTCATATATCCTTAGTTTTTACTTAATGTCCTTTTTCTGTTCCAGGATCCCAGCCAGGACAGCACATTACATTTGGTCATGTCTTCTTAGGTTCCTCTTGGCTGTCACAGTTTCTCAGACTTAGATATTTGTTGTTAATGACCTTGACAGTTTATTGGAGTGCTGTTCAGGTATTTTGTAGGATATTCCTCTATTAGACTTTGTCTGGTATTGTTCTCATGATTAGACTGGAGTTATGGGGTTTTGGGAGGAAGATCACAGGGGTAAAGTGTCATTTTCATCACATGTCAAGGGAGCATACAGTCAATTTATCACTGCTGATGTTAACCTTGATCACCTGGCTGATGTAGTAGGCTATGCTTCTCCACTGTAAAGATACTTTTCCCCCCACTTCCCAGATGTACTCTTTGGCAGGAACTTGCTAAATGCAGCCCCACCTAAGCAGTGGGAGGTTATAAATTATTCATAATTTTTCTGTATGGGAGATTTGTCTATTCTCCATTTATTTATTTTAAAATAAATATCCATGAATTTATACATGTTGGGTTATAATCTAATATTTGTTTTGTAGCTCACACTTGTTCTGTTCAGCCATTGAGAGCTTTTTCAGTTGGCTTCTGTGTCCCTTTGACATATCCCCGTGCATGTGTGTATGTGTGTGTGTGTGTGTGTGTGTGTGTGTATTTGTGTGTTTTAGCATTTCTTTCCTTTCTGGCATTGAACATGCTCCAGGTTCATCAAATTTGGGGAGTTTTCAGCCATTATTTCCTTGAATATTTTCTGTTCCTTTCTCTTTCTTCTCTCTGTTATTTCCATTACATATATGTCTTGCATATTTCTTGCTCCAATCTTAGAATCAGCCATTTCTCCAAAGAGTCCTGTTTCCTTTTATTTAAGAATAGCATTAGAAACCAAGATCTGAATGTGCTCATTCCTTGCTTTCATTTTTGAAGATAGTTTTGCAGGATATAAGATTCTTAGTTGACAGTTTTCTTCATTTAGCTCTTAGAATATGTCATCCCACTGTCTTCTAGACCCCATTGTTTCTGATGAGAAGTCAGCTATTAATCTTATTTGGCTTCACTTATATGTGATTGTTTTCTATTGCTGCTTTCAATATTTTCTCTTTGCCTTGTCATTCAACATTTTGTGTATGATGTGTCTGGGTGTGGATTTCTTTGCCCTTATTCTACTTGGAGTTTGTTGAATTTCATGAATGTGTAGCTTAATATTTTTCATCAAATTTGGGGAGTTTTCAGCAATTATTTCCTTGAATATTTTCTGTTCCTTTCTCTTTCTTTTCTCTGTTACTTCCATTACATGTATGTTGGTATATTTAATGGTGTTCCACATTTCTCTAAAACTTAATTTTTCTTTGTTCTTTTCCCTCTGTCATTATTCAGAATTGCATGATCTCTATCAATCTATCTTTAAGTTTACTGTTTCTTTCTTCTGCTGGTTAAAATCTACTGTTGATCCCCTCTAGTGAATTTTTCAATTTGATTATATTATAGTGAAAAGATTCTAGATTTTCCATTTGGTTCTTTTTCTGAAAAATAATTTCTACCTCTTTATTGATATTCTCTATTGATGAGACATTATCATCATATATTTAATTCTATAAAAATGGTTTCTTTTGGTTCTTTGAACATCCTTATAATAGCTGCTTTGTCTGCTAACTTCACCATCTAGACTCCCTCAAAGGCAGTTTATGTTGCCAGCTTTTGTTCCTGTGTATGTTATACTTGTTTCTTTGCCTATCTTGTATTTTTGTTGAGAACTGGGCATTTTAGGTAACATAGCAACTCTGAATACTGATCCCCCACCCCCACACCACATCATTCTTGTGTCCGTTATTATTTTGTTGCTTGTTTAGAAATTGGCTGGACTAATTAAATAAAGTCTATTTCTCTGCTGTTAGTAGCCTTTGATGTTGCTCCTGAGAGAGTGCAGCCTTGATCATGGATGCAATCTCCCTGACAACCAGGAATGACTGGTGTTTGATTCTTTTCTTCATCTTCCAGCTAAATTGCTGGCTTGTTTACCTCTAGGAGTGTCACACCCAGCTAATAGCCTCCATTAATTACTTGCTGATTGCTCTATTACTTTCAACAGCACCCTGAAACATGAATTGCTTCACATTCTGATCTACTAAAGCCAAGCTCCTTTTCCAGTCTTTGAGGCTTGCTTTAACCCCTTCTTAATGGTCTCTTTCTCTGGTTCTGTTTAACATCTTGCTGGTCTACTGTTTTGGTTATTGTGACTAATACCATGGAACTACCAGCTTTCTCTTAATTACTCACCCCAAAGATCTCCAATGTTTTACACAAAGTCCTTAAGCATGAACTTCCCACACTTTGTTCCAAAAAAGTTCCTTTAGGCAGCATTCCAGAGCTCTGTTTCCCAGCCTTTTCCATTGACAAAACTCCTATGCCACTGCATGGGAGCTGGGGTGGGCACAGTCATCTGCCTTTCTTACAGTGACACCTGTACAAGTTGGTTGCTGTGTCAGGATTGCAGTCCCTGGTATTTGCAGAATGTCCTTCATAGCTATTGAACTTACTTTTTTTTTTGGTATCATTCATCTACAATTACATGAGGAACATTATGTTTACTAGACTCCCCCCTTTACAAAGTCCCCGCCACATACCCCATTACTCACTGTCCATCAGCATAGTGAGATGCTGTAAAATCACTACTTGTCTTCTCTGTGTTGCACAGCCCTCCCCTTTCCCCCACCCCCCACCTTATACATGCTAATCGTAAGGGCCTCTTTCTTCTTCACCCGCACTTCTCCTTCCCTTCCCACCCATCCTCCCCAGTCCCTTTCCCTTTGGTAACTATTAGTTCATTCTTAGGTTCTGTGATTCTACTGCTGTTTTGTTCCTTCAGTTTTTGCTTTGCTCTTATACTCCACAGATGAGTGAAGTCATTTGATACTTGTCCTTCTCTGCCTGGCTTATTTCACTGAGCATAATACCCTCTAGCTCCATCCATGTTGTTGCAAATGGTAGGATTTGTTTTCTTTTTGTGGCTGAATAATATTCCATTGTGTATATGTACCACATCTTCTTTATCCATTCATCTACTGATGGATGAACTTACTTTTAAAACCTCAGTTCTTGCTACTTCATTATATTTTATCTTATTTTCTAATTATTATCCTCACAAAAGTGTCCACTGATGGTTGTGGGTACATCTTTAGGTCTCCTCACAGGTGTATGTCTATACTAGATATAGCAGATATTCACCGAATACTTCCTGACAAGTTTTTATTGCATTCTAATAAGTTAATTTTAAAAACATATTTCTTTGGTTTGCTTCAAAGTGAATTAAAACAGCACTTCTCAGACTAGGAGGTAAGAACCATCCACCTGGGGATATTGTTAAAATGCAGATTCTGATTGGGCAGGTCTGATCTGGAGTGGTCCTAATGCCAATGCCATAGATTATACTTTGTGAAGCAATTAATTAAAAAGGCAATACTAGGTTAGGAAGATTCAACATCATAAAACTGTTAGCTCTGTTTAAGTTGATCTGTGAAGTAATGGTATCCAATTAAAATAACAATGAGTTTTTCCTAAGGACTTAAATAAACTGACTCAAAAATTCTCTTGGAAAATAAATAAGAATATCCCCCAATTCTTAATAAGTAAATGAGGGGACTAGCTGTAGCAAATGTTGAAACACAATATGAAGCTACAGTCTCTGAAACAAACTCATGAATAGACTAGAAAATCAAAGGAAAATATATGAGCTCTATGATAAGCCCCAATACAGATCATGTAAAATATGTATGTGGTCAGGTTCTGATAAAGCTTTGATACTGATACATTTACTTTATGATAAAGTTGGCATTGCAGTGAGAGACAACCAGATTATTCAATAAATGATTTGAGATGACTGAGTAGCCATTTAGGAAAAAATTAAGTTGGAACTGTATATTACAGTGAAATTAATCCAGGTGTATCATAGATTTAAATGTAAATGATAAAACCATTAAAGTCTCAAACTTAACAGTTGGAGCATTTTTTATCATTCTGGAATGTGCAGGACTTTTAAAATATGAAACCCAGAAATCAATAAAGCTAGTTATATAAAAACAAAAAGTTTCCTGCATAACAAAAACCATTATAAGCAAAGCCAAAAGATAAACAATTGGACAAATGTTGTATCCAATATCACAAGGAGCTAATTTTCTTAAAACAAATAACTTTTACAAATGAATAAGAAAAATCTAACCAAAAAAATGTGCAAAAGATTTGAACAGTTTACAGAGGAAACTACAAAGTCTCAAACTTATGTAAAATGTTCTATCTACCTCATTCATAAGGAAAGTAAAACAAAGCTATAATGATATACCAGTTCCCTTCTCTTAGATCTACAAAGATAAAATTTGGTAAGACTGTGTTGAGAGAATGGGGGAAAAACAAACAGTCTCATACATTGCTCAGAAGTATAACTGGCTTGATCATTGTAGAAGGCAATTTAGCACTATTTATTAAACATACACATATGCTGAGGGTAGGGTTCCTCAACCTAGACACTGCTGATATTTTGGGTCAGATAATTCATTGTTGTTGGGAGTGCTGTCCTGTGCAGGTAGAGTGTTTAGTACCAACTGTGGCTCCCTCCTACTAGATGCCAATAACACGCCCCTGGTTGCAACAAACAAACAAAAATGTCTCCAGATTTTGCCAAATGTCTCCTGGGAGTGAAATATCCTCCAGTTGAGAACCACTGTCTTAGAACAAGCAATTTCACTTTCAGTTAGCTTATCCTATGATATAGTTGTATATTTCTAATATTATGTATTCTTAGAAGATTAATAATCAGAGCATTGTTTGGTGTAATAGAGATTGAGAAGCTAAGTGACTGTGGGAACTTGTTAAATGATGGAACATCCATACAGTGGAAGATTATGCAACTGTTAAAAAAAAGGTAAATTTGTTATATGCTGATTCAGAAGGATCTTCAAGGTTTACTGAGTGCAAAATAGTTGTGTGACTAAAAGTAAACTGGCTAAGTTTTTAGGTCAGAAAGGTAAACAAATATTTGTAGATCTCTAGAAGGATGCACAAAACCTAAAAATAGTGTTTGCTTCTGGGAAGGGGACCTGTGTGACTGGGGGCAGGGGTGAGAAAGGATAGGAACTGTGTACTATTATACAATTTGAATTGAATGCATTGCCTATTCAAAACAATGGTTAAAATTTAAAAAGGAAAAGGCTAATTCAAAAACCACTCAATTAAAAGAAAAAGGCTAGTGATTTTACTATATGATAATTTTTAAAATACAATTCTAAAAGATATCCCTCAAAAATTGAATGACCATATGATCCAGAACCCCTGCTTCTGGGTAAATACCCAAAATAGTTGAAAGCATGAACTTGAATAGGTGTTTTGTACACCCAGGTTCATAGCAGCGTTATTCACAATAGCCCAAAGGTAGACACAACCATCAACAGACGGATAGGTAATCAAAATGTGGTATAGCCATTCAAGAGATTATTATTCAGCCTAAAAAGGAAGGAAATTCTGACAAATGCTACAACATGGATGAACATTGAAGACATAATTCTAAGTAAAATAAACCAGTCACAAAAGGACAAACAGTGTATGATTCTACTTGTATGAGCTTCCAAGAGTAGTCAAATTCCTAGGGACAGAAAGTAGGATGTTGAGGGAGGGAGGGGGGATTGGAAGTTAATGTGTCGTGAGCACAGAGGTTCCGTTTTGCAAGATGAGAAAAGTTCTAGAGATGGATGGTGGTGAAGAGTGTATGTACAACAGTGTGAATATACTGAATGCTGCAGAACCGTGCACTTAAAATAGTTAGAATGGGAATATTTATATTATGTGTATTTTATTAAAAAGGACAGGGAAATTAAGACTATCAAATCAAAGTGTACTTATATAATTTTTCTTTAGAAAAGCCCACCAAACCTAAGATATCAAAATAAGGAAAACATACTCCTTAATAAAGGAAAGAAGGAAGGCCAAAAAGACTGCTTTTTTAGGCTGCACTTCAGTGTTTCTGAACTGGATGAAAATATCATAATTGTAGAAGAAAATCAGAATCCTGTGATTCCCCCCAACTCCTTCAAAAGTTTAAACATTACTTTTAGAACTACTGGGGAAAGATGCCAGGACCAGTAAGCCCTGGTAAGCCAGAACAGCCAGAAATCCCAGGGTTTAATTTAATGGGAATCCCCCTTCCCAATGCAGGACCGGGCCAAAGCTGAGGCCTTGAACAAGAAGCTCCGAAAGCAGCTAGCCGAGTTCCGAGCACCACAGGTGATGGTGTATGTCCGGGAGAAGATCTTACATGGGGACCTGGAGAAGACCATCAAGGTATGGGAACGGAAAGTGGAGATTGCAGAGGTAAGTCACAGATTCCCAAGACAGCAGTCTTTTGTGTCCTTCACATTTTTATCTAGGATTTTGTTTTTGGAGCTAAGAATACAGATATTTGGATTTGTAACATCCATAGAGAATCTCAGTTACTTCAGCTCTTATACTAAGATGAAGGAAGGCTGTTTGTTTTTAAGCTCCTTTTTCTTTGTAAGGGACAAGATCTTTTCAGATTATCAGGAAGAGACTCTACAGTAATAGTGTGTTTTTAACTGCTTGTTTTCTTATTGAATTCTGGAAGTTTCTGAATCCCTTCTCCCACCACTGATAGTGATCGCTACTTTATACTGGGAGAAGCCAGTTTTTTTAAAAAAGACGTAATAATGGATTGTTAATATCACTGATAACCCGATTCCGTGCATTTCCGTAGTTGCCACGGGTCTTTTCATATGATAGAATGTGCACAGAAACACCCTTGCCCCTTGTGAGCTGCAGAAGATAAAATGGTATGTTTTGGCATCAGAAAAAAGGAAAGCCCAGAGACTGCCACAAGCCAGGTTGCATACCGAGGACACTTGGACATCATCAGAGAAGCTTAGAAACCCAGTCAGGCCACTTGGGAAGCTTGGCATTTTCACGTCTAGACTCTGGCTCCATATCCCATGGAAGTCTTCCCTGCTTTGCCCGTGGTCACTTGGTGTCACGGAGTGAATCAGGATCCAAACTTGGGCCTGTTGGATCTGGAGCTAAGAAGTAACCGAGAATCACAGCAGGAACCTGCAACATCTGACTTCTCTGGACAGAAACAAGCTCTAGAAGAATCTTCCAGCCAGGGGCTGCCCTGGGGTCCTGTGCCGTGCAGTCCCACACATGGTCAGCTGCACACCCCAGGACTGGATGCGGGCAGCTCTCTGAATAGTCACTATCAGTTTTTCCCAGGTGACCTTCTCCCCCCTCCCTCTTTTTTCTTTTTGCAGATGTCCTTAAAAGGCTACCGCAAGGCTTGGAATAAAATGAAAACCACCAATGAGCAGTTGCAGGCAATTTGCCCCCCTGGGAAATAGCCAGGGGGAAGCAATGGTGGCAGATCAAAAAGTGATCCATTAAAGTAATCAGCTCCTTTCTAGTCGCGGGGTCCTCTCTCTGTTCCCTGTGCTAGCTGGTATCTCCAACTCTCCAGCCAGGCAGGCAGTCACCTCCCAGACATCTGCCCATGGGAAGTGTTTTCACAGCCTGGCCCCTGGAACCGTTAACACTGAAAGAACCACAGGGCACTCTAATGGTCTGACATTTGTTAGCCCACATTTAGTTCATAAGCACAAAGGAAACTGTCTTCCCGCATGTGGGAGTGGGACGGACAGAGGAGGGAGAGCTAGTCCAGTGTGAGCTGTGGGCCTGTCTGTGGCACCCCAGGTGTTTAAACTATCAAAAACAGACACCAAAACAGCCTGGTGAATGCCTGGCACTCAGCATTCTGAGTTTGCTCCTCTTCAGTTTGGAGGGTTAGCTCCTAGACTAGATATCACTGCAAAAGAAAACAAGCACAGAGGAAAACAAGATCATTTCTTGGGGCTGATGTACCCTCTTCTGGCCCAACATAGACCCACTCTCCCGTCTCCCCACCATAATAGTCATAGTACATGGGTTGTACATCCACCCGAGATGTGCCTGATTCCTTCAAACCTTTCCCCCTAAGGTCTGGTCTCTCTCTAGAGCTGCTTACTGGCCATGAATGCATGGTGGCCCTTTTTGGTCCTTGGAAGTATGTTTGGGACCATCCGAGCTGGCCCAGCCCAGAATGTTTTCTCTTTGTCACAGCAGCATATTGTGCTTTGTAGCCAGAGAAAGGAACCAAATTCTCCCAGTGATGGAAGGACGACAGAGGAGCGCTGGCCCTCTTAGTCTTGGATGTGATCCAGTCACTGTAGTCTTCCACCTTGATGTACAGAAATAGGCCGGGGCACTTCTCACCACCTTGGTTCAGGATTTCTCAGCACCCACAAAATTGAATTGTAGCTGGCACATCATTGGGTTTCCTGGGTCTCCCTGCAACAAAGGACAGAACGCATCAGGTCTTAGAATTTTTCTTTTTTAATATATCCTTGTGCAGTTTACTGGTTTAGAAATGTTTTATACTGGTTCTTAACTGGCAATAGGATAAATTATAGGATATTCTTTCCAATCTAGGCAACCACCACCACCAACTCCAAGAGTTGTTTTCATTTTATCATGCAAATCATTTGTAGGTTTCTATAGTTTGCCTGTCACTTCCTGGCTTGCATTTCAATTCCTTGTCCCTTTCTAGCACTTTGGCTAAATCCTCCCTTTCCTTTGGTCTCTCCTTCCTCAGTGTTGATCGTTTCTTTTCTTTCTGGCCTGGAATGCTCCTGTCTTCCCTTCTCCTCTCTGTTTGAATAGTTTTCAGCCTCATTTGAGCTGGCCCTCTCACCCACAGGCCTGCTGGGCTCAGAGTCACACTTGCAGGGGAGCACACACCAGGCTGGGCTCAGAGCTTCCCACCCCAGCAGCTGCCTGTCGGTGCGCCTGCTCTCCAGCCCCTGCCCCTGTGCTCGGCCTTCTGCTCCCAGTGTAGGAGTCCTCCAGGACTGGGGGTTTCTGCCATGCGGACCTGAGCACACATCAGGTGACTGGTAGAAGCTTGGCACATTTAGCTAGATGTGAGACCCTGCCAAGTCACCTAACTCTCCCTGAACTAAAGTGGGGATACATCTAATGCCTGTAACACACGGAGAGCTCCTAGCAGAGTGCCTGGCACAGAGTATGCACTTAACAAAGAATTAGCTACTATTACCCTGGTGCCTAGAAAAGGCCATCATTTTTATGGGAAAAGCTGAGAAATGGGAAAAGCCATAAGGCAACTACTAGGTTTAACTTACCTTACCTGCCCCACCCCCTAGGCCTCTTCTTAAAGGAGTACCCGCCCCTCACCCCTGCCGGTGGTCTATCTTGACCCAGGATGGGGCTCTCATCCAAAGGCTTCGACATGTGTAGCCGGCCTGGCTAGAAGAGCTGGCAGTCACACGTTGCTCTCTGCTTGGACTGAGGCATGGAGTGGGGTTGCAGCTGACAACAGGCAACAGTGTGAACAGAATCAATGAGAAGTAGAAAGGCAAAAGAGTGGCCACGGGCTCCTGCCCATTCCTGGAGCTAAGTGTTGGTCCTTCTTAGGTTTCTGCACACATGCAGCTTCCTTCCCTGCCTTCCTTTGTTCTGAGGAAGCCACAGGAGAACAGTGACGCAGGCGAATGGGAGAAGCAAGGAGTGACTGCCAGCGGGGCAGCAGCGGAGGCATGCTCGGCACGGCTGTCATGATCCCCTGGTTAGGCCCACGGCCAGACACATGAGGAGACATTCTGGACTTTGCTCTGTGCTTCTCACTAGATGGGAGGGAGTGCTTTAGTGTAGAACTCCTGGCTTTTCAGTTTTCACAAGCTACTGTTTTTACTTCATGCTGCCAAACAGCAGACGGCAGAGATTTCATCCCGGAGTCTGGCAAGTTATGCTAGGACTGGTGAATAGGTTCCTGGCTGTACCCCAGTGTGTCTGCCTGAGGTTCTTCTACATATGTCTTCTCCCTTCCTTTCATCAGTCCTGGTCCCAGTTTGCTTTAAGTGTGGTTTTATAGCTTGAGGAAGAGAAAGAATGTAATTCAGGACAAATAGTTTGATGACTGAGTATTCAGTAGACATCCCCAACTATTGCATGGTCTTGCAAGATGCCATTCCAGACAGGGAAGAATATGTTGCTTTTTCTCCTTCCTCTAATCCATGGGGCTTGACTTCTGAAGCCCAAGCAACTGGACAAAAAGTACCAGCTGCTCCTGGGGAGAAGCCCACTTCATTTCCCCGGGGAGTGCCCTAGCACACAGAGGCAGGATTCACTGCATGGGGTCTCAGTGCTGACACTCAGCAAAAGCCCTAACAGTTGTGGGAAGAAAGGTGGGAATAAGTTCAGAGTGATTCTGGTTTTGTTAGGTTTCTAGGAATCCATGAACCAGTTACCGAACTTTGGTGGTTTATTCCACATTTGAGAGGTGTGGCTCTAAGGACCTCTAGACACTAGAACATATTTCCAAGAGAGGGAAGGACCCTAGGTAGACAAGTCACCATTTTTTTTGTCTGAGTTTGCAAGTACAATTCAAAAGTAGGATGGTCTGCAGGTGTGCTACAGTTAAAAATCATTCCACATTTTGTAGGTGGGTGTAGAAGTGATCATTTAGCATATAAGAGGCTTACATACTGCAACGAACCTAAGGTGTTCCTTAAAGATTAACATCTTTGAAATGGGATGTGTCTTTTAATCAATTTATATTAGAGTTTAACTGGTAGCATTTTTTCTTTGTTGGCATTACATAAAATAATGGTGCATTCTACAACTGACGGCATCATAAATTCGATGAAATATGGTACTAGACTGATGGAATAGCTGATGGCAGAATTTCATTAAAAATCTGTGTCTTCTACTGTATTTTAACACATTATCTAATTTAAGAAGTTGTTACAGTCTTCCACCTGGCAGAGAACCGAGTGCAAAGTAGATCCTCAATAAATGTTGAACCAGCTTGGGAAGGACAAACTTACTGCATAATGAATGGCAGCCCTGCATGCTTTCATAATAAAATTATTTTTAGAAAGAGTTGTCTATATATATGGGTTTTTCCCCCTTTTTCTAAAAAACTTTCCCTAGATCCTCTGGAAAGAAAAAAGTCCCCATCAAGGAATCCTGAAGGTTACCAAGGGAAGAGTGGGTGGTCAGCATCTTAGAGAGAAAATTTTAAAGGAGAGACACTCTTCCTGGAAATCTGACAGACCTGGGTTCTTGAACATTTATTAACTGTGTGACCCTGGTAAGCCACACTTTCTCTGGGTATGGATATTAGGGAACCTGGACCAGGTGTTTGTGAATTCTACACATTTTCCTGAGGCAACAGGACAGCCACCTGTACAGCCATCATCCAGGTGGAGGGCAGGGCTTCTTACAGAAAAAAAGCCAATAATCAATGAGCAATAGCATCAAAGCCTAGGCTCCATAGAAGCCAAATACAGCGACCCCACACTGTAGACGTGCTCCAAGTATATCTGTATGAGTGGTTTGGATCCACACTTTCAAAATTTCAACTAGTGAAAAAGCATCTGTGCCTTAGCCTTGCTTAATCGTATTACACAGAAAATGGTGACTGGTTGGTTAGTCCATTCAGCAGATTTTTACTGAGCACTTGCTATCTGCCAAGTACTGCTCACCCCAGAGACAGCCATGACCCCAGGTGATGACCCCTGCCCCCACAGAGTTCACTATCCAGCAAGGCCCTGCTTACTCTCAGCATTTAGCTTCTCCTCCGTCATGTTCTTACCAAGCAGTCAACATTGGTTTCCTGCTCTCTCTGACTGCCACATCCTGTTTTCTGTAATTCATGTAAGGGGCACATGTTGATGTCTTTCAATGAGATTTTCCTCAGGATACTCATTGTCATGTGATGTCCTGTCTGGACCATACAACCGAGATCCCAAGAATTATTCACAAGAGGACATCCCTTAATTCAACTCAACTGCAACTCACATAACCTTATGCGAGTAAGTAGAAAATGTCCTGATAACCCCCTTTTCCTCACAGAAATCAGAACCTGCATCTGAGTTTTTGCTGAAAACTACCTTTGCTTTAAACTTGAATGTGACTAGGCAGAGAACATGTTCACCCTTCCTCTGTATCACAGAGAACACTTTTCCTTGTTTATTTCTCAAGTATGAAAGGAAACAAGGATGGCTTAGACAAGAGGACAGCCAGCTCTAATTCAGGGAAGAATGTGCCCTGAGCACTCCGTGACCTTGCACCCATTCCAGGCTGTATATTGCAGTATATTCACTAGCCTATGTACTTCCAATTTTGATGTAGAACTGGAAGAAAAAGGGCCAAAAATGACAATTGCCACAGAAAGGGCAAGCACTGGGAATCTGGACTGATTAGGTGAGGGCTCCAGCCCAACTCTAGAGCCTCAAGCAACCTGAATTATTAAGATAAGTGCTAGAATGGTTTACCCTGTCACCCCTACTGCCAGTACACACACAGCCTCCTCTAGGAGAAGGAAGGCATTAACTGCAGACATGGGGTTCTATCCTGCCACCCAGCAGTTCTGCAAGGTTGGTGTTTTATGCAGCTTTCTGCCGAGGAAGCAGATGGGCCGGACCAGGCTGTTGAACTGCATCACCATGTCTGTCTTCAGGAGGGCTATATTATTGCTCATTGTTTCATTATCAAATTCCTCATGGAAGATGATGGTTTTGACTGGATAGTCTTTGTGAGCAATCACTTTGGCATCCATCTTAGCTATGCCAACTATAGCGATAACATCCTTCCTGGAGAGAGAGAGCAAGGGAATCTTGAGAAGCCAAGGCACCAAGACAGCTTCACACTGCCTGGTTTTCATATTTACTATTTTTTGCCCTGAAACAGTCATCCAACTCATCTTCCTGGGCTAATTTGTATTCACCTCTTTGGACCCAGTCCCCAGGAAGTCTTTTCTGAATCCCTAGGCTTGTGACCTCCTTTGTGGACCCACAAAATCTTAGGGATTCTTCTGTCTTAACATTAGTTGTCTCACCACTCAAAAGATAATCTGCTTTGTTATGGCTGATTATCTTTTTCTCCATGCAGAATTTTTGGTTTTTGCATAGTTGTAGTTAAACCAAAGATGCACTCTTGACTCTTGATTTTAGCCCTTAATATTTTAGGAAGAGTCATGAGGTCCATATCCTTTAAATCTTTCTCGGGAGTTGTATTAATAATTTTACTCTGGACAAGGTTCCTTTGGCGTTTCATGTTTGTATATGGCGCCCTCTAGTGTCCAGAAGCTCTATTCTGGAGCTGCTCAGCCCCTGAAGCAATGTTGGGGGTTGCAGGGGAGCGGTACTGGTACCCCCCCCTTAATATTTTAATACTAGTGTCTTTCCATATTATATACTCTAATACACTTCAGAGAAATTCTGATTTTAGTAATGGTGGAGTTCAGTGGAGTTTTTTTTCCTCTTGGGAATCACCCAAGGAATTATGAGAAGGAGAAACAGATGAAAACAGCCTAAAACTACGAGACACTAGAGAATCCAAACCTTGGAATCACAGGAAGGATTAACAAAAGCAGTGAAGGTCAGCAGGACTGCAGGGAGTTAGAGATGATACCTATTGCCACAGAGTGAGAAAAAGCTGCTCAAACACGCCTCTCAGCTAAGAAGGGGAAAGAAAAGAAAACCATCATAAAAATGTAGGCCAAACTGGAAGCAGCATAAAGAACAGAGACTACAGAAAACACAATAAGGAACACAGAAGGTAGGGCTGAAGGAAGTAACCAAAATGAAATGGACAATAACAAAGATTTTTAAAGGCTAGAGGGGAAAATTATAAATATGGCAGTTAATGGAGAGTCAGCAACCACAATGGTTGTTGTAATGAAGTAGAAAAATATTTCAAGATATAATTTAAGAAAAATTTTCAAAAATAAGACATGAATCTGGTTTGAAAAGAAAAGGCAATACAGAATGAGTAACACCTGAGACATACCCAGCTCCCAGAAGGACACAGATGTCATACTCAAATAAAGTAAATTGAAGAAAGTCTACTAAAGGGACTCTTTACAAAGGTCTCAGAAGGATGTGGGAAATCACAAGGAATAGGGCAGTATGCTGTGTACCACATGGCATATGCAGATCCTGATACATAACAGCAGAGCATTGCAGCTCTAGGTGAGGGGAGGAAGTGCTCTGATTGGCAGTAAGGAGCAGGTCACTTGACTTGAGGAGCAGCACCCCTTAGGGGAATGAGGACTCCAAGCTCACACTCCCTCTCCCTCTGTTCTCTTGCCAGTGCCCCCCTTAGCCAAACCCAGCTGGAACCCAGAAGGCAAGAGCATGCATTGGTGTAACACACACAGGTCAGCCTCCTGGGACCCAGCAAGGTAGCAAAGGATAGAGAGTGGAAATGGGGGAGATCCAGCAGAGCTAACCAAATGCCTGGACTTCAGTGACAAAGGAGGAATCCTTGGGCCTCCAGACAAACCCAGATTAAGTCATCTTAAGTTTGGCCACATAATTTATTGCCTAACCCAGGGAAATTGTGAGGGTGAAAGGGGATGCCAACAGCAGGATATGAGGATAATAGGTGTAAACCAGGCCTCTCCTAGGCATACTAGGATGTATAGTCATTCACCTAAAGAAGAAAAAATCAGAATGGCTTCAGACTTCTCCACAGCAAGATTTAATACCAAAGCTAGGGGTAATGCTAATGCCTATTGAGTCCTCAGAAAAAAAGGTGTGGCCCATGAATTCTATACATAAGTGGTCATTCAGGTTTAAGGGCAGTTTCTGAATATGCAAAATCCAAGGAAATATGGTTCTTGGGAGCCCTTTAAGAAACTACTTGAAGACATATTTTAGCCAATTCTAGTGTTGACTGGAGAAAAATCCAGCAAAAGGATGGTCAGTAAGGGTGAAATTCATTATATTGGACTAAAATTAAAAGAAAAACATCTTCAAGTTTAGATTGGAGTAAAATATAAACCCTGGCAATAATTAAGTGGTATAACTAAAGCTGAAAAGAAAGATGTAGATGTATACACCAATTTTCCCACCTTTTATAGGAGTCCAGACATTTATTTACAGCTAATATATGAGGCAATAGTGTATGCAAATATGTATGTGAATCAAGTAGACATTAAAGTACATATATAACCTATTAAAATTGGATGGTGGTGGAGAAGATTGGAAGAAATGAAAAGAAAGGAATTCTAGCATTGGCCACAGAGAGTTCAAAGAGGACTGTCTAGAAAGAAATAGAGGATTTCGGTGTCATCATGATATTATAACTCTTAAGATGAACACCAGAAGGAACACTCAAAATTTCCAAATTTGTTAGAAGAGTTGCACAAAAATCAAAGGCCATATAGTGAAAAGAAAAACAAGAAGCAATAAAAACATAACCTGAAATAAAAACAAGAAGCAGGAGTTTCATTCTGAACATCAGTGTAGAGCAGAAGAGCCTGAAGTGAGACCCAGAAAGGCTCTTAATGAGGAAAAAGAATTCAGTGTACAGTGAAGATGTCACAGTCATAAACATCCGCAGCAAGTGACATGTTCACAAAGCAAAAACTCCAGGAAATAGAAGGAGAAAAAGCCAGAAGCTCATTCATGACAGGAGAGTTTAATTTGTCTTCGTTTGCCTAGAACAACAGATCAAGGAGACTCCCTCCCCCAATTTTATATTCTAAATAGTACACCAAAGATAGAAAAGGAACTTTTAAATTTACCTGTGGAAAATATTCACATGGACCACATACAGTAGAGCTCAAAGACAACCTCAACAAATCCCTAAATAGATACCATGTAGTGTAACTCAAAATTAAATAATGCCAGAAAATAAAACAAAAGACCCTACTACCTGGATATTTAAAGACTCTGTCTGTAATAAAACCCTAAGACAAAGAGAAAAAGCAAAACCAAAACAGCAGAACAGGTAGAAAAGAGCAATAATGAAAACACTGCCTCAAAAGCAGAACCTCTCTGAAGGGCTAGCTGGCAATAGCTATCAAGATGTAGCCTCATCTTGCCACTTGGTTATCCATGCTACAAGAACACCCACACGTGTGAAATAACATATGGACAAGTGTATCTACTGCCACATTCTTTGGTACTTGTAAAAGACTGGAAACCACCCAAATTTCCATTACTACAGGACTGTGTACTTATGCTACATCGCTCACAGGATACCGGTGCAGCTTATGAAAGGACTATGGGAGCTCTTTATGTATCAATAAAAGATCACCCAACAGTCACAATAGAGTGAAAAAAGTTAGAGTGGAATACTGTGTATAGCATGCTGCCAGCGTTTTTGGGGTGTTACAGACTGAATTGTGTGCCCCCAAATTCATAGGTGAACACTAATGTGATGTGTCACTCCAAATGTGAGTGTATTTGGAGACAGGTCCTTTAAGGAGGTAATTAAAGTTAAATGAGGTCATGAGGGTGGGGCCTTAATCCAGTAGGACAGGTACCCTTGTAAGAGGAAGAAGCGGCACCAGGAGTGTGTGCACACCCAGAGGAAAGGCCGTGTGAGGACACAATGCAAAGGTGGCGGTCTGCAAGCCACAGAGGGAGGCCTCGGGAGAAATGGACCCGCCGAGACCTTGATCTCGGACTTCCAGCCACCAGAACGGGGAGAAATAAATTTTGGTTCTCTAAGCCTTCTGTCTGTGGTGGTCTGTTATGGCAGCCCTAGAAGATTAATGCAGGGGGAAAGGAAATTCTCTCTGTCAGTAGATATAAAAATTAATAGAGATAGACCTATAGGTATACAGAGGTCCATAAATGCACTGAGTATTTAAAGAAGCATAGCCAAGAAATTCGTGACAGAAAATGGCTCAAATTAGAGAACTAGTGGCTGAAGAGCAGGGGAGGAAGGAGCTGCTTTTTGTTGTATACCCTTTGGCCCCTCATGAACATTATACTATGTACATGTATTTTCATTTAAATACACATATTTTCAATTAAAAATATAAATCGTTGCAAAATTTAGCAGCTGAACAATATTCCATCAAAGGTTTATACTATAATTTATTTAGCCAGTTACAGTAATTACACTCTCTCTCCCCCATACTCTGTATGTATATATAACATATAGATATATGTAATTACATATACTATATAAAGGTGCCTCGTTAGCACAGTAGATAGCACGTCAGTCTCATATACTATATATTGTAATATATGCTATATACATGAAAAAATAAGTGTACTATAATTCATCCATGATAACTGGACACTACATTTTTAGTGTTTTGTGTGTAATTAACCATCCTATGAAGAACTTTGTGCATAAAACTTTTCCAGTGATTGCAATTATTTCTTAGTGCTGAGTCCCAAAAGTGAAATCACTGGGTCAAAAGTGAGATGACTTACAAAAAAGTGATTCCTTTAATAACATTTATGGGTTTTTTTTTCTTGTTTAAAAAATGTTTATTGCATAGGATCTGGAGAATACAAAGAAGTTCAAAGAAGAAAACAGAAATCATGTAGCTCTGAGCTCCAGAGACAAGTGCTCTTACAGTGTTTACCTATTTCCTTGTCCTTTCCTATGTGTGTACATTGTGGCGGTCACATTGTTAAGGCATGAGGTAAGTGTTTCACAGTAAGAGCTCCAATCAGTTTGCTTATCAAGATAAGCAGGAGGGACCTCTGTCATCAGGAGTCAGTAAAATGGGAATGAATATCCTTCCTGTAGAAGGTGGTGAACAGTCATTTCAACTTTGGCAGCTGGCGACTTCAGGACCCCAAGACTCAGGGCAGAGCAAGT